AATTAATTATATCCCACTTTATTTCCAGGAGCTCAAAGCAGTGAGCAGTTTTGTGATGTATGTTGTCAAGTGTACTAGAGTTGAGAGAGGATTTGAACTTAGATCGTCATAGTGCTAATCCAATCAGTGGTGGACTGGGTCTAAAAATACTGGTTGCCAGGAAACAAAGGGGCACAACCACAACTATAAGGCTATCATGCAATTTTTATAAGAAATAAATAATTTTATTTTTAAAAAATACATAAATAGAAAAAAGTACAGTTAAAATTATTGCAAAATACATGCATTTTAAAAGTAATTATAGTGTAAATATATTGTACATATTGCTGGCAGTATATAATAGATGCTAAATGTAAATATAATATTGTTTAAGGGGTCCCACTTGCCATTGAGCAAGCTGCCACCATGGCCAGTCCACCACTGAGTCCAATATTCTAACTACTATACATAGAGGAAATGCCATGTTTTTCTAAAGCATGCAATCTATGAGTAAGTTTTTTTTAAAGAAACTTACTCCTAAAGATTCCAGCTTGCACATTAATTGTAACCAGTTGTTTCAGGTTTCCTGTTTCATTTAGCTTTATATCTGGTTCTTCTTTTTCTGAGATTTCCTGCTCTTGATTCTCTTTAATCTTTTCTTACAGCTGTTTGTCATGTAACTTTTCTCTTCAGGTTTTTTCCCTCTTTAAGGGTTTTTGGCAAGGCCATGGAGGTTTTCAACAGCTTCAGTTTTACTTAACTTTTATACTTGATTTCATCCAATAAGACAATAAAATTGAACTCAAAATTGTGAAACTGACATACCTCATGACATGAAAGCAAATTCATGGAACTGAACCTCATGAAATTCTTCTTCAGAATATGCTGTCTAGAACAAAAGCCAAAAAAGTATCATATTTACCATGCATCTGCATGCAGATTTGACAGGGAGGAATAGAAGGTGCTGCAGAATCTTTCTTTCTGTGGGGTTGCGTGGTATACATCAGTGTTTACAAGATGTTTTGGACTTCATCTCCCAGAATCCCAGATCTTTGGGCAAGGCACCAGAGGCTTTTGGGAATTATAGTCAAAACATCTGGACAACTGAAATTTGAAAATCACAGAGCAACATGATATTCTATATCAGTTAACTAATGAAGTAGACTTAATTAAGGCCCCTTCTACACTGCCATATAAAATCCAGATTATCTGCTTTGAACTGGATTACATAGCAGTGTAGACTCATATAATCCAGTTCAAAGCAGATAATGTAGATTATCTGTTTTGATAAATTGAATTATATGGCAGTGTAGGAGGGGCCCCAATAACCTCTCCTGGTCCAACATGCATAAACATGACAGAAATGGCATTCATTCTTAACTGAAAGGAACTCATTTCCCTGTGGATGAGAGTGATAACTATGACCATGGCTACAGTGTCATGTGTTAAAGATAAGTGGATGCACAGTAAAAAGTGCTACCAAAAAGTTCAGTAATATGTGCCATTTTATACAGCAAAGCAAGGAATTATTTCTGCTGATCCTGCTGCATTACAGGTAGATTGGTTCAATCAATAAAGGCATGATTGTCCTGAGTTTGCCAGTTCAGAGTAAGTTTTAGATACCCAGGGCTTATAGGGATTTGCTGACCAACTAAGGTAGTGGTTCTCAACCTGTGGGTTCCCAGATGTTTTGGCCTTCAGTTCCCAGAAATCCTAACAGCTGAGTGGGAAGATCACCACTGAGAAAGCCATGTTCCTGTTCATCACCTCCATCCTCATCCTGACTGTAAGGAAATCCAAAGAAGAATTTCTGGTGATCTGAAGCTTATCTTGATGACCCTTTAGTTTGATTTGAGAGCAGATGTTTCTTTAGGTACCTTTGAGCTTGGCTCTTACAAAGTTTATGTTTACTTTAATTTCAAAGAGCTAAGAAAATGTATGCAGCTGCCCTGCAATCTAGTCAAGATTGCTATGTCTATCTTAACCCATGGTTGGGCTCAAAGCCAACCTTAAAAACTCTGGCATAGACACTGAGAACTGGGAATCCCTGGCCCTTGAGCGCTCCAGCTGGAGGACAGCTGTGACCAGCAGTGCTGCATAATTTGAGGAGGCACGAGTGAAGGGTGAAAGAGTGAAACGTGCCAGGAGGAAGGCGCGTCAAGCCAACCCCGACTGGGACCACCTTCCACCTGGAAACCAATGCCCTCACTGTGGAAGAAGATGCAGAGCAAGAATAGGGCTCCACAGCCACATACGGACCCACAAGGAAATCCATAATGGAAGACCATCTTACTCGTCCAATGAGGGATCGCCTAAGAGAGAAGTCTATCTTAACTGACTTAAAGAGAAATGGCATAAAATTCTGGTCTGACTCAAAATCCAGCCATTGTATTGCTTACATGGGTATGTTAACTTGTCCAGATGATAGCTGCTTGCAAGGAATTCTGATATTATTGAGTATCTGGTGTTTACCATCCAATTGCCCTGATTTGGCAGGGACAGTCCTGTTTAAATCTCTGTTGTCTCACTTTGTCAGCTGCTTTTAAAATGTCCCTGCATCTTTGTCCTCCTCCCACTTTCCTCCTTTATTCTCATCTTACCTCAGTTGCAGCCAACTGAGGCCCCTTCCACACAGCTGAATAAAATCCCACATTATCTGCTTTGAATTGGGATATATGGCACTGTGAACTCAGATATTCCAGTCAAAAGCAGATATTCTGGGTTATGTGGCTGTGTGGAAGGATGCTAAATTAAAGTAGATACCACTCAATTCTCCAGGGATAAAAGGAAGTGCAATCTTCCCCTTCTCTGTAGCTCTAGGAAAAGCAAACTGCTGCAGCCTCTCCTATAGTAGCTAGTTCCTTCTTCATTATCAATTTTTGAGCACACTCAGAAGTTGTTTGCCCAATACATCCTCTGGAAAACTATTACAGGCTCCACAACAAAGACCCATTTAGTGAGCAAACTCTTCAGGCAGCGCAGAGCATTGTGTCCTCCATCTCTGAAGCCAAGAAAGAACAGTGGATACAGCTGATCACAGAGGTCGACATGGGAAGGAGCAGCCAGAAGGCGTGGAGGCTGCTAAGACAGTTGAGCAATGACCCCTCACAAACTAATACCCATGCCAACATAAAGGCAGATCAGATAGCACACCAACTCTTGAAGAATGGGAAACCCAACCTTGCCACCAAAGTAGGAAAGAAACCAATAGCCAGACAATCAGAGATTGAGAACAACAACCTCCATGAACCCTTTACATCTACTGAATTGGACATGGCTCTCAATAAATGTAAAAATGGCAAAGCAGCTGGCCTGGATGATCTACGGATGGAACAAATCAAAAACTTTGGCCCAAAAGCAAGGTGCTGGCTGCTGGAGCTGATGAACAACTGCTCTGCATCCTGTCAGATCCCCAAAATCTGGAGGAAAGCAAGAGTCATTGCCATCTTGAAGCCAGGTAAAGACCATAATGGTCCAAAAAGCTATAGACGAATCTCCCTGTTGTGCCACCTCTAGAAAGTTCTGGAGAGACTTATTTTGCATAGAATTATGGAAAAAATAGACCCATGTCTGATTCCACAGCAAGTTGGCTTCAGGAAAGGCAAACGCTGCACATCGCAAGAGCTGAACCTGACTCAGCACATAGAAGATGGCTTTGAAAGGCAGCAGATCACAGGAGCTGTATTCATAGACCTGTCAGCAGTTTATGATACTGTAAACCACCGCCTCCTCCTGAGAAAAATGTGTAATATCATAAAGGATTACCATCTCACCCACCTCATAGGAAACCTGCTACAAAACAGGAGCTTCTTTGTTGAGTTCCAGGGCCAGAGAAGCAGAAGAACGGCCTGCCTCAGGGGAGCATGCTTGCTCCATCAATGTTCAACATTTACAAAAATGACCAGCCACTGATAGAAGGGACCGAGTTGTGACATCTCCAGCTCATCCCCCGTTTGGATATCAGCCAGCATGTCAACAACTTTAATCAAGAAATAGTTTTCTTAGATCTACAGAGACACTCGCTGGAACACCCCAGCAAGTGAAAGTCCAAAAGTGGCAGGCTCAAACCCAGAACCTCAATCAATGGCTGATACCAAATGACTCTCCCCTGGGCACACAGAAAGCTGGGTGACTTGGAAGGCGCTGGACAGACTGCACTCTGGCACCACGAGATGCAGAGCCAATCTTAAGAAATAGGGCTACAAAGTGGAATCCACGACATGCTAGTGTGGAGAAGAGCAAACCATAGACCACCTGCTGCATTGCAACCTGAGCCCTGCTACATGCACAATGGAGGACCTCCTTGCGGCAACACCAGAGGCATTCCAAGTGGCCAGATACTGGTCAAAGGACATTTAATCAACGACCAAGCTTGCAAACTTTGTGTTTTGTCTGTTTGTTTGTTTGTTCTGTTAAAAATTTAATACAAATGTCTGGTTGCCCCTGACACGATAAATAAATAAATCCTCCTAGTTTTCATCTGTGAAATATTGTAAGGTATATGGATGTTTCACATAGTTTATCTTTCATCTTATCTTTATGACCAATATGGAGGAGTCAACAAATCCTTCAGATGACCACAAACAGAGCAAATTCCAGTTATAATGTTTCAAAAATTATTCAATAGCAGAGAAAAGAAACGGCCAATTATATTTTTAGGATATTCTTCAAATAGGTGCCTTTGAGTTGCAATGTAATAGATTCTTGCTTTGGGTATGATTGATCTGCACCTCCCCTTTGATTCCCCAAGAGTATGTAGAAAAGTTAGAAAAAGATGTGTAGCTGGCAAGCATGTAGGATTAGAGCCAGACTTTTCTGACTGTCCAAGTTATGACATTTCAAGGCAGAGAATGCATTTCAATACCTAGTAAATAAATACATTGCCACATATAAATGTGTTGCTGTTAATTTTTTGAGCCGGCTTGAGAGAAAACAGTCTTTTCATTTTCAGCTTTCCCTCCCCTTTGTACACCAGAGGGAGGTAAAAAGTGAATTAACGGAATCGTAGGCACATGGTACTTGACTACTCAGATTACACCACAAAATCTGGGCTGTTCCTTGGGATAGGGCTGAGAAAAGGAACTTGTGAGTTGTAAGCAGCCTTTGGAAACAGCACTAGTGATAAGACTGGAGACAAAAGCTTATAAGAAACAGTAACTACATTCACAGGTCTGTAAATCTGTGTTAACTTCAATGCTTGGCTGAATATTTCTAGTGGACATTTTATTATTTACATACATAATCTTTAAAAGATGTTGCTTAGATTTAATTTTGCTTCCTTTTGAGCTCTCCTGTTTCTAAAGTTTATATCTTGAACTGCTACTGTTTGACTTTGTTTGTAAGAGTTAACTATCTAGAATTTAAGTCATTACTTAATATCTTCTATCTGAAAAACTTTGAAAATGTTTAATAGATCTCACAAGGATTTATTGGATACTCTTTTAGCTAGAAAATACAAGAGGTATATTGCTGCATTGCACAGAATTTCTTTGCAATCTGTTTTCCTGCAGGCTACCTCTAATGAAAAAGAAAAGGGTGGTTTTTTTTTTTTGCATTATTGCTTGTATCTTAATGAAATGTTTTATACCTCCTTTGTAAATGAGAAGCAATTAGTTGCTTTTGGTCTTTGACCTGTGAAATAAGGAACTTCCTTTTTTAAAAAAAAAACCCTCACATATTTAGCAAAAGTTTATTTTTTTGGTGGGAGTCAAGAAGGTGACATGATTCAATGTGACATATTGAATGTGAGCCATCTGAGACTGTACAGAGTTAAGCCCTTGCAAAAGCTGATTGTATGTGTTGCAAAATATCAGAGAATAATTTAAATGCTGACAAAGTCTGCTTCTCCAAAACTTTCCTCTCTTTCTTTTCTCATTCCATTGTCTGGTGTGATGGAAAATGCCTGAGAATAGCCATATTTTCTTCACAGAATTTCCTTTACAGTGAGTGCTGTGAAGTTTAGAAAATCTTATACGTTGCAAAGAGTAACTGCAGTTTCTTCATTTACTTCTTGTAGGGCATATGACAAATGATTTCAGTTGACCTTTTCTAATCAATTAAAATTAGCAGTTAAAATTGTTATAGCTAGTTGCCTTATCACAGACGCACATATACCGGAAGGCATAGCTTGCTTTAATCTCCAGTCTTCTCTTAATAATGATTACATTTGCTCTGTGGCATGTGATGGAATGTAGCTCACACGACTCCCATTAACACCACTAACAAGAACTGCATGTTGACTCTGAATAACAGTTGTTCTTAACTGGCCCGTAGCCAGGATTTCGTTTCGGGGGGGGGGGGGGGGCTAAAAAAATTTCAGGGGGGGGTTTGGGGGGGGCTGAGTTTCGGGGGGGCTGAGTCTGAGTGAAAGAGGGTCTAGCCTAGCAAACCTTTTGTATCATTACCCCAATACCCCCATGCATATGGGATATATTGAGTATGGTGATCAGATCATGATATGAATAAACATAACAGTTTAAATAATGCACCAGTAAGGCCTTTTAGCGAACCACCATGAGAATTTCAGGGGAGGGGCTGAAGCTCCCCGAGGCCCCCCCCCCCCGGCTACATGCCTGGTTCTTAACAATGAATAAACTAGCGCTTGTGCCTGTGTTATTTTGAAATGGCATTTTGATGGATACATTCTTTTCTAGACTGATAGAGTCATAGGACCTCATCACACTGAGATGCAAAGAGCAGGGGATAGCAGTGCCATTCGCCAAGCACTGCTATCACCTGCTCTTTGGACTTCAGTAGTGATGAGGTCCTATGATGAGGTAGCATGGTGAATCTGGTGGGCAGTGGGGTAACTCATTGCCCCGTGCCCTGTATCACCCTCTTGCTCATCCCACAGAGGAGGGAAGAGTGTCACCGCCTGGCTTCCCCCCGTGCTTTCCGTGTTGTACTCAATGAGAACATGGGAAACTTCCCAGGTTTTCTGGCCAGCATCCTAAGATGCTGCCAGGATGCAGGAAGCATGCAGCCCTGCTGGAAGTAGTCCTGCATCATTTGATGGGCTCCAGCAGACTCCATCCACCCAGTGTCTTAGGACACTGACATTTGGTAACGTGATGAGATCCTAAGAATCATAGAGTTAGAAGAGGCCACATGAACCATTACATCCAGCCCCCTGGTCAGTGCAGGATCTCAGTATTGTATTTCCTAATTACATTAATTCTTTATCCATAGATTCCACTATCTGTGGCTTGAAAGTATTCACCTCCCCTTAAAAAAAACGAAACCTTGATTCTGCCATTTGAAATAAAGGACACCATATATAATGGAGTTTTGAGCATCCATGGATTTTGGTATCCATGAGCAGTCCAGTGGACCAAACTCCAGTGGACAACAAGGGTCGACTGTATACAGAAACCCCTCAAAATGTATTTTTGACTATCGAAGAATGGCTTAACCAGCCCTATTGTAGGTGAGTCATTAAGTCTGTAGGATACAATCCAAATACATTTGAGGATCTTTTTTTGCTTTTAAACTTGAACCAGCAGCAATTTTCACAACCTAGGGGTTAAATATTTTGCAATAATAGATTTATCATCTATATTGAAGTGTATTGGAAGATTTTATAGTAATGGTAAAGCATCTCACAGAAATTGCTTGAGCTTCCAAAGTACTTAAGGGTGTACTAGAGTTGCATCTACACTACAGCATTAATATAGTTTGACAGCAGTTTAACTGCCATGCCTCGATGTTATGTTGTTGTTGTTCATTCGTTCAGTCGTTTCCGACTCTTCGTGACTTCATGGACCAGCCCATGCCAGAGCTCCCTGTCAATGTTATAGAATCCTGAAATTTCTACTTTGATGAGGCACCAGCACACTTTGGCAGAGAAGGCTATAGATCAGTGGTTCGCAACCTATAGAGCCCCATATGTTTTGACTTTCAGCTCCCAGAAATCCTTACAGCTGGTAAACTGGCTAGGACTTCTGGGAGCTGTAGGCCAAAGCACCTGGGGACCCACAAGTTGAAAAACACTGCTATAGATCTTATAAAATTGCAACTCCCATAATTTCCCAGAATTGATCTGTGGCAGTTAAAGGGGCACAAAGTTGAATTAGTTCTACATTGTTGGTGAACTTTTGGAAGGCAGGAACATCTCCTCAGATTTTAGCAGGGCCTGGAGAAAGAATGACAGACCCAGGATAGAAGAAAGCAGTTGGTTCAAGAAGGTAGCCTGTCAAAGGAAGCATTTTTTTTTACAAGTGATTGATTGAAAGATCCATAGAAACGAAGAAAAAAGAGACGTCCAAAAAGGAGAACATCTAAAAAAAGGGGGGGGGGAATGGGCACTGAAAATAAGATCATGTGGCCTTGAAATCCAAAGTTGAATGTCTACATGTTAATTTGAAATAGGCAGTCAGGTCTTGGACTGTAATATTTAATTGAAGATCTCTTTCAAGAACATATCTATATCCACTGACCCAACCTTTGGTCCTCCAGGTGTTTTGGATTTCAGCTCCCACAACTCCTGGGAGCTGAAGTCTAAAAGAACCGGAAGACCAAAGGTTGGGAACAACTGCACTAGACAGATTCACTGCAAAACAGTCTTAGGGTTGGCAGGACACTGAACTACTTAACTTGGACATTATAATAAATGAAATTGTCTCCTAATTTTCTAGCTCTCCAAGAAAAGACCATCCCTGATTGTTCCTCATATAGAATATCCTAGCAAAATGCTTGTCATCCGATTTAAGCCATGTCTTTCCTCATTTTAATGGGTTATTCAAATAAAATTCTGTAATTTATGTAATGGTAAATAGTTTCTGGTCTTATTGTGCCCTTCTAGAAAGAACAGATGGTAGTTTAAACAATTTTTGGTATTGGATAAAAAGACTAAAGTCTTTGACAGATCGTATCCATCTGTAAGGAAGAAATGAAGTTTGTTTAAAGTAAACAAGACAAATCTAAAGAATTTGAATCAGCCTTGAAAAAAAAAACAGTTTAAAAGAATACCATGCTCTTCCAGATGGCTATGTTATTTTGCTTAACCTTTACCCCATCAAGACATGTTATGTACATTTAAATGTGTCATTTTGTCAGATAGGAACAAATTAGAGCAATCAAGGAATGGAATGTTCATTATGTTCGACACTGGGCACTTCTCAGCATAATGTTTCCAGTGAACAACTGACATCTATTACAAGCAGCCAGTAAAGTCAAGATGTTCTCTGTTTGTATGAGTACATGTGAATGAAAGGCACTGAACCAACCTTGGCTAGAGTTTAGACTAAGTCCAGCACAAGACGGATCTGCTGGGTTAAAAACATGAAAGCATCAAGGAGAACTCTACTTGATAGACAGGTATTCTGTTTTTAAATGGACCAAGCTACATATTTACTTGAATTTGAGAAAGTCACTTGTAGTTCTCATGCTGGCTAAAAGATTCTGGAAGTTGTCATTAAAAAGTGATTTTCCCAAGCTGATAAATCAGCTGGAAAAGTGGTGCAGTAGTGTAGTACCCCTTCTGTGGTTCTTGCTTCAATGCAAAGCACAGCAAAATAAGAATAGAGAAAACTATTTCCATTTTGACTTTTCCTTTTGCCTACAACTCACCATATTCCAAAGTTGGAAGGGAGAATTTTTGTGACATCCCAGTGTCTTCAAAACATGCCATGGGCAGTAATAGAAATATTATACAGGGAGGTTTCCAGAACATGTAAAAAAGTTGAAGGCTGTTTGGATTTCCATATCATTCAAGTGATTTCTATAATACCAGTACATCTCTCATGCAGGAGACTGCCAGCCTCCACGTCAGACTTCATAGTTTGCAAGTATCAGGTTTCTAGCTTAGTCATTAGCATCTCTACCAGTTGCAACTGGTGGCTTCAGTTTCAGTGGGGTGGTGAACCCCACTGGTTTTTAGTATAGATTTCAAACACATTTTGTTAGGCATTAAACTTATTTGGGGATTAAACAACTACTTTAGACATTTCTGCTGAAATATGAGCAAATAACCTATTGATAATTGAAGCCCGTTATTTGCCCCCATCATTATTTGCCCTCATCATTCTCAGGTAGAACTGGCAAGACTCTTGCTTGAGAATTTGGAGAGTCTTTTTCAACCTCATCAGATATATCTTACTTATGCCGGTTCAGCCATAGTTTACCCATGGAGTCTGCCAGCTCCCATCCCATGATGCAGAGGAACTTCTGGC